CTCCTTTTGCCCGGCAAACCCTGCCTCTGCCATGGAGCGGTGGGTGGGAGGAGGCTGGGGTAGGCTCTCCCTGCGGACACACTGGGGAAGGTTCACTTTGATTATTGGGGATGGGACGAAATCTGCACTTACTGTGGCCGTGGTGAAGCCCCAGCAGCGACTCTCCAGAGGCACTCACAAGTACTCTTTAATACTTTCTAGTGATTTTTTTTTTTCTTCCTGCTCTCTGCAGATCCATGAGAGCAGTCCCCTCGATCTGGCCAGCGAGGAGCCCGAACGACTGCCGTGCCTCCAGTCAGCTGGGGGCTGATGTCAACGCAGCTGACAAAAACGGTCTGTATACCCCGTCCGGCTCCCCCAGCCAGGGTGCTGCCAGCAGTCAGCCCTCATGGGTGGGCTAGAGCAGGGCGTGGGATCTGGGTCCTTCTGTCTTGCTGCTGCAAATGCGCTCTGGTTACAAACTGGTTTGGAAGTTGGGTGCAGGCTGCAGAACCTCCTTTGTGCTCCGTGTTTTCTCGTTGTGTCTTGGCTTTGTCAGGTGCAGGAGGAGGCTGAAACCAGCTCTGTGCAGCCCATAGGAGATGGGATGGGGCTGTGCCTCCTTAGCCCTGTGGTGCACACATGCCCTCTGGGGCCACCACTAGCCCTGCACATGTGGCCCGTCACCCTGTCCCCACGACTGTACACCATCGTGGGGACGGCGTGAGCCTAAAAGAAGAGAAGGGGCTGTTTCTCCCCATGTTTGGCCATCTGGTTGGTGGGGTGGTTTGTTTTCCTTTCTGCCTTTTTGGGTGTCACCCTATTTTCATCTGACTGATTGCTCCGTTGCAGGAAAGACAGCGCTGTTGCACGCCCTGGCCAGCAGTGACGGTGTCCAGATCCACAACACTGAGAGCATCCGTCTTCTATTGGAAGGAGGTGAGGGCAACCCCTCCAGGCCTAGTGCTGGCTGGTTCTTTGTACAGCACCGGGCACTGCCCTCCCAACTCCTTTATGTTCTCACTTGAGTGAGAATAAAGCCCAGCAGTGCCAGAGTTAGTCCTGTCCTGGCCTTATGGTCTGCAATGCCAGTTATATTCTCTGTCTCTTCCTCCAGGTGCGGATGTCAGGGCCACCACCAAAGATGGTGACACTGTCTTCATCTACATCATCTTCCTGCTAAAAAACAGCACCACCGAGGAGGCACAGGTGATGAATCGCTTCTGCTTTCGTGTCACACAGCTGCTGCTGGCCCACGGTGCCGACCCCAGCGAGTGCCCGGCCCCTGAGTCCCTCACCCACCTCTGCTTCAAAAGCTTCAAACACCACTTCCCGCTGCTGCGTTTCTTGCTGGAGTCAGGTGCTGCCTACAACTGCTCCCTCCATGGCCCCTCGTGCTGGTCAGGCTTCCACATAGTCTTTGAGTGCCTCTGTTCACACCTCAGCATCTCTGAAGATGACAGCTGCTCTACAGACCTCATCCAGAAGGGTCAGACTCTGCTAGAGCTCATGATGGCCAGTTCACAAGCCATCCGGCTGCCCAGCAACTTTGAGGTCAACACTAGCAGCTGTAGGTACCATGGGGAGAAGATCAGGACTCTCTTCTGCTCTCTGAAGCAGCTGGAACGCTCCCCGCAGGCACTGAAACATCTCTGCAGGGTTTTTATCCGGCAGCACCTTCAACCGTGGCCAGTAGATGTCAAAATCAAGGCTCTACCTCTTCCAGACAGGCTGAAGTGGTACCTCCTCATCGACCATGCTGCTGCCGGGCATGAGGACCTCTGAGCCTGACTAATGCCTCTCTGTCTCCCCCTCCATGGTTGTGGTGTGCCCACAGCCACCAAATCATGGCTCTGGGACAGTTTTCTCTGCAGTAAAAGCTGTTGCTGTCCGTGTGCCCACAGCTTGGCCAGTGCTGCCCACGGTGTCCCTCACTGCTGCGTTTTGGGGGGTGTGCTTTTTTTGGGCATGACACTGCACGTGTGTCTGTGGAGGCCTTGTTGTTCTGGGGTATGTCATGGGGAGGCGGGCAGAGCCCCGTGGCTCCGTGGGGGTGAAGAGAGCATCTGGGCATCAAGGAGCTGGATACTGGAGCAGAGGGTTGGTTTTTGTGGATTTGAAGAGCAAGCCTGGCGGGAAGGACCAGTGGGACAGTTGGGGTGATGTAACTGGACAGGCAGCTTGTCCTCTCTCTTTCCAGCCCTGCTGGGTCCAGGGAGGTGAAGCAATGCCTTAGGCAAGGGGCAGAGTCGTGAGATACCTCAGGGTGCTGGGAGAGGAAGTGTTCCCTGTGCTAGGAGAGCGCTGGCATCTGTGTCCTGGCTTCCTGCGTCTGGTCCTGCTGGTGGGAGCAGCTATGGTGGAGGCAGGTCTGGCATCTCCATGTAGGTGTGGATGGCTTCCTCGCTCGCGTGGGCTTCTGAAACCAGGAGCAGGGTGGGGTGAGGGGAAGTGGGGCTGGCAGCGATGGCCAGCTGCTCTGCACCCTTGGAGTTTTTGCTGGGAGCACCCTGTCATCCCAGCACAGAGGACCATCCAGCAAGGACATCTCAGAGGTGCTGGCCCCCAAAACAGACAAGTAGATGTTTCTTGATTTCATGGTGTGTTCCCTGTGCAAAGAAGAGGAACGGGTGGCTAACTGCTGAGTGCCTTGTGCCTCCCTCCC